CAAGAAACCTCCAGTGGTACTAGTAATACACTGGAAGATTTAGTGAGACTATAGTAGACAACTGATAGAAGGGGCAACTTGGGGACTTTCATGAACTCCAAGCTGGTGTAACGTGGCTATAATAAAGCTCGTGTGAACTTCTGCCAACAAAAATACAGGGCTCAAATCTGGAGAAGGAGAAAACTACCCAAAGGCCTGTTAACAGGAGAACTGTGGGATATTCATAACACAGAGCACTGCTCACGATAAAAAGGAGCTGAATACCAGTTACACGTAATGCAGATGAACCTCCAAACACTACACTGAAGAGACAAATGCAGAAGACTGTGTGCTGTGTGATTCCACTGAGATGAAGTTCAAGAACAGATAAACTAATCTATGGGGCTAGAAATCAGAACAGCGGTTGTCTATGGGAGCTCACAACAGGGGTCAAGAAAGAACTTTCTGGTATGATGGATGTTTCATATCTGATTGACATATTGGGTTCAGGGTGTACACATTTCACAAAACCTGTAGAATTATACTTTTGAGAAGCATAGTTATATATGTGTGTGTACATTTCACTCCATGCATATTTTACCTCCATTTAAAAAACCTAGGTGTCAGCTCATCAGGTGTAGCCACTCTCTTGGGGACCACCATCATGGGGGATGCTGATAATGGGGCAGGGGATACATGGGAACTCTCTGCACCTTCCTCTCAATTTTGCTGTGAACCTAAAACTGCTCTAAAAACATGTAAAGTCTTTTTAAAAACAAAAGGAACGAGCACCCAGAGGATCAGTAGCCCAGTGTGTTCTGTGTTGATCAGAGGGCATCTGAAACACAGGGCTCTACACACAGTCTGACAAGAAGATCACGAACCAAGAAGGAGAGGAGCTTGGGAGGGCCACCACCCAAGGGTCGATGAAGAAACTGGCCATGTTGGGCCTGGATAAAGAGATGCTTCCTGGGAAAGAGTAGACTTCTTTCTCTTGGGCACCTATAGGCGGCATCTTTGGGGAGCTGAGACTACATTCTCTTAGGTGAAGAGGGTACATGTAGTCTTTGGAAGGAATTCCTAAATAAACTCAAAAGGTCTCATCTGATTTCAAACTCTACAAATTACGAAAGTCATGATAAAGGTTTTTATTTAAGGACAACTACACAGTGAAAGTCAGAACCACTATTGGCTGAGCCCTCTCTCTATCGGGCCTGTGGCTATATATAGACACTAGTGACATAGTTACACTAGACATTCTGGTACCAGGATCCACTCATCAATTCCAGTGCTCATGTGGCCCTGCAAGGTAGTCATCATTATACCCATTTTATCTCTATTTTACAGGTGAGGAGATGCAGACTCAAAAGACATCTAATAGGCAGAACCAGAATTCACACCCACCTGCCCACGAAGCTAGTGGTTTTTCACCTACAACTCACTGCTTCTCATCTTTGGTAAGCTTTTGGGTCTTAATTTTATGTGTGTGTTAGCATCCTTGCAGTAAACAGCGATAGTCGTGTCAGTCAAAATACATTTTAATTGGCTGCCATTAGGGAAGCTAAGTTTGGACAGAGAGCAAAGTAGTGAATGGAATCATGTTTCTGGGGTGGTTTCCTTTCCAGCTGACAGTCTGAACAGAGGGTTGGGTTCCCAAGCCGGGCCGTGGTCATCCGTACCAGGTTTTTCCCAAAGACATGGGTCACTGACTGATCCCCCCGACCTCAGGTGGGACAACAGAGGTCCTCCCTAGCTGGGGGCAGTGCTGGGGAGGGTGCCCACACCCTGCCATCTCAATGACCGTGACCCTGCTCAGTTCCCACCCTGCACCAAGCACCCACCTCATCCCTGAAGAGCCGCGCTTGGTCCTCACACCCTGTCAGGGTCTGAACGAAGCCGAAGACCTTGGAAATCAAAGGAGACATGTTGCCAAGGGGACGGGGCTCGGGAGAGGAGGGAGGAGGTGCCCCTGAATGGCATTGGTGCCTTCTGGGCTCTGACAGTGTAATTTTTGTTAGCAGCCCCAGAGGATCCTGATTCTCTGTGTCGCTGCGGGCCCAAGGTGAGGCCATTTGCTCCCAAGGCCCTGGGCTGAGCCGGTCTCTCCTGCTGGATTGGCGGCATGTCCCCCTCCCCACCCCCCAGGATGGGCCTATCAAATGGTGCTCAGGCAGCCCCCACTGGGCAGCTGGGAGAGGCTGTGGACGGAGGGATGATGAGTCAGGAGCGGTATGGGGCTTCCGCCTGACGGGGCCCTTTCCTGAGCCCTCCCGCCGGGGCATGGTGAGAGCAAAGAGGAGGCAGAGGAAGAGGGAGGGGTCCCCGCCCCTCACCTCATCAATGGTCCACTTGGCGACTGTCGAGGCCGAGATGCCCGCCACGCCAGGCAGGAGCTTGCAGTGCTGCTCCCAGCACACAGACAGCGACCGGTCGGGGTGGGCCGACAGGGCCGACATAAAGAGAGACTGCTGCGTGACGTCGGTGGTCAGTGCTGCAAGGCAGAGGCAGAGGCCGGCTGGCCAGGGCCGAGGACCAACCTGTCTCCCTCCAAAGCCTGCTCATCCTCAGGCCACCTAGGAGACTGGCTGGCAGAGGGCACCGGACCGTGGCCCCTTTCAGACAGCCCTGCAGAGCCAAGGGGGTGAGGCAGATCCCGCAACTCCTCACCTAGCGCTTGTCCCTCATGTTACAGACCATGTAGGAAGACCCCACCCTTCCCCCAGGCTATAGCACCTGGGCCCCCAAGGATGCTCTTTTCTCCTGGAGCTGTGGCAGCATCCTGGAAACACCACTCTGGAGACCCTGCATCCACATGGCCCCCGATATCCATGCCACCTCAGTGTGCCGTGTGCTCGGTAGCTTCAGTCATGTCCGACTCTGCGACCCTATGGACCGGAACCTGCCAGGCTCCTCTGTCCATGGGATTCTCTGGGGAAGAATACTGGAGTGGGTTGCTGTACCCTCAGCCTGGACATCAAAAGCCCATTCTGCTTGCTCTCCATTTTCTAAGTCGTTTTGGGCCCTGACTGTTGCAGCCTCAGGGGGATTCTGTTTGAGAAGCAGAGTCAGCTTTCCCAGGAGACTTCCCAGGCAGTCCAGTGGCTGAGATGCCACGCTTCCACGAGAGGAGGCACAGGTTTGATCCCTGGTCAGGGAACTAAGATCCTTGCATGCCATGGAAGGGTGGTGGTGGTGTGGGGGCAGAGAACCAGCTTGCCCTGTCTGAAGGGAACCCCCCGGCCAATGCCACTGCCTTAAGCGCCTCTCCTCCCATTATGTCCCCAGCCAGGTCTGGTTCATCCCCTGCGTGCCAGCCCCCCGCCTACTCTGGTACCTCCAGGGTGATCCCTGATCCACTCATCCACCCACACTGCCTGTCCCTCTGCTTCATCAGCTCCTGGAACCCCTGGCTCCCAACCCCCAGCCTCCAAGCGGCTCTGCCATCTGGTGAGTGACCCTGCCCTACCTGGCTTCCTCCTCGGCCGGGCTTGGCAGCTGTGTGCTTGGACTTCATCTACTTCTGGGGACTCTGGCAAACCTGGCCTCTGCCTACCTTACCTGCCTTGGCTGGCCTTGGGCCATGTGGCCACTGTCCCAGGGGGCTTGCCCTGCCTCTGCCCAGAGTTCAAGAGAGCCGGCTCTGTCCTATTCACTTGGTGCTAATTCCAGACTCTCATGCACATGCCCCGCTGCTGCCCTCTTCTCCAAGGCCCACCTTGCTTATTACTGTGTCCTTCCATCCCTTCCCTTCACTTCAGCCTTTTGCCCTGACTCCTTGGACCTCAGAATCATCCTTAGAGCCTCTGGGATCCTGGTTACAGCCTCACTGATTGTTCTTCTCTAACTGCCCGCCTGCTGTCTGTCTGCTCATTGGTCCAAACCCAGGCTCCCATCCATACCCTGAAGAGCCCCAGCCTTCAGGACAACCCCGGAGCTTGTAACCGCTGCACAGCCCAGTCAGCTCTTGCAGGATCTGCTTAGGATACAGCCTGGATCTCCCATGACAGCTGCTGCCACCAGCACTTGGCCTCCTGTCCCCGCCGTGTCCCTCTTTGAAGTCTGCTATCTGGTGCTCCGTGTATCCTGGCAAGGAGTCTGGGGGCTGAGCTCCTTATCTTTCTTCCCCAGAGCACAGGACAGAAGCATTTGTAGGCAGCCCGTAGTATCTTATCTAACTGCAAAACATCTATAGTGTGTGTGTGTGTGTTAGTTGCTCAGTCTTATCTGACTTTCTGAGACCCTATGGACTGTAGCCCGCCAGACCTCTAGTCCATGGGATTTACTGGAGTGGGTTGCCATTCCTTTCTCCAGGGATTGAACCTGGGTCTCCTGCATTGCAGGCATATTCTTTACCATTTGAGTCACCAGGGTGGTATCTTATCTAACTGCTAAATATCTATTATAGCTCCTCTTTTTTTTTCTTTTGCTTAAAAACAATAGAAATGTGTTTCTCATAGTACTAGAAGCTGGAAGTTTCAGATCAAGGCACCAGCAGACTGGGTATATATTGAAGGCCCACTTCCTGACCCCCAGGCTGCCATCTCCTCACCGCATCCTCACATGGCAGAAGGGGCAAGGGGTCTCTTAGGAGGGCACTAATCCCATTCATGAGGGGTCACATCCTCATGACCTAATCACCTCCCAAAGGCCCCACTCCAAATACCCTGACATTGAGGATTAAGTTTCAACATATGCATTTAGGGGGTTACAAATGTTCAGTCCAGAGTATTATTATTGGAAGTTAGCAACTATGTGCTGAATAGGCACTGTGGGAAGGTGAGGGCAGGGAAGAGGGGAAATGCAGTATAATAGAAAACACAAATTGGACTTGGGATCAGTTCCTTACTAACTTGTTTTTTTAATGCCGGGCACCTCACTTAACATGTGCCTCAGTTTCCCCATTTGAAAATGAACTGGTTGAGGGGACTTCTCTGGTGGTCCAGGGGTTAAGACTATGAGCTCTCAATGCAGGGGGCCCAAGTCCGATTCCTGGTCAGGGAACTAGATCCCACATGCCACAACTAAGAGTTCACACGCTGCCACTAAGACCCGGTGCAGCCAAATAAATTTTAAGAAGAAATAAAAAGATAAAGCGGCTGTGTAAGGAAATCATGGTGGTTTCCTCGTTCTTTCCAAGAGCTGACACTCACGGGCCCTGGAGGGCCCCATGAGCACCGTGAGCACAGCCAAGTCCTGAGCTCTCCAGGCAGGCAGCTTTCCCCAGGGAGCTGTTTTCCAGCAGACCCACACCGAGCAGGCCTACCCACGGATGCGTGAGAAGTCTCCGGAACAAAACCCAGAGGGACCGGGTCCCCTGTGTGAGACCCAGCTGATGGAACAGGGGAGCCCTGCCCAGAGGTCAGAGGCCTGGGCGCTGTCCCCCGCCCTGTCCCTGAAGTGTCTCAGGACTGGGGTGAGTCCTTCCCAGTCCAATCTGGCACACAGCTTCATCCATGGAAAGACTTCCCAAGTTCTCAGGATAATTCTGGAATGAACACAGCAGGCAAGCGCCCTCTGGCAGTCAGAACACAGCCTTACAATGGAAGCTGACCAGGTGTACCACATCCATGTTGCAGACCACTTGTAAGAGACAGCGAGATGGTATAGATAAAGCACCTGAAATGGTGCTTGGCCTATAGCAGGTGTTTGATAGTGTAGCAGCCACTATTATTTCAGGTAAGTGACACCTGAAAAGCAGGTATTATTCATGTTTTCAAATAAGAAAACTGAAGTTCAGAGATGTGACTTGCTCAAGGTCACACAGCTAGAGAGTAACAGCCTGACTTCCCTCTCAGGAAGCCAGGACTGAGAAAAGCAGAGCTGGGGGCATCATCCCACCTCAAAGCGAGTGACCAGGAGCCCAGAGAGGCTCTGCATCTTGCCGGCAGACTCACAGCAAGGCCTGAGGCACAAAGGGGCTAGCATGTGAGGCCGTTCGAGGCCCCACGCCGTGTCTCAGCACTGCTCTGTACCTCCGAGTATCGTGACACCTGCCTCCCAGCCTCTCCCACTGTGTGCCGCTGGTGAGTCCTCCCACCAAACACCAAGCTGCCACGGTGAACACGGGGGAGGACACAGGGGACAAATGACCCAGGACTCACTCGGAAAATCTTCCTGTGGGATCTTCCGGTACTTTGGAGGGCGCCCGATCCTGGAGAGAGAGGAGCTGGGCCCGTGGCAGGGACTCAGCGCCTGCTCTGGCCTCGGAGGACTTGAAGCCCCGCACCCTTGCCCTCCGCACCGGCCGTGATGGCGAGGCTTCTTCCTTAGGGAGAAGCCGGAGAGGCTCCTCTTACGGGCCGAGGCCTCCGTGTCCGACAGCTCTGCCTTCAGCCGGCTCTGGTTCCTCTCGGCCAGGGGGCAACCCGAGAGGCAGTGGTGAGCTGTGAACTTGCCGGTGACGTGGCCAGAGCCATCACAACCAGGAGTGGGGCACTTCCTGGAGCAGAAGAAGGTTTGAGATGAAGCTGCTTGGTCCCACTTGTCTCTTCCCAACCCCGGCGCCACTGGGAGAGCGGTCGGGGGGACCCTGGTTGGCCACCCATGGTGGGTACAGGACAGACCCCTCTGAGCAGTGCCTGAGGGCCCCTGACAGGAGCCCTTCACTCACCGGTGGTGAAAGCTGTACTTGGAGGTCCTGCTGTGTGGCGGGCTCCGATAGCTGAGAGGGGGACAGCCCGTGGGGGAGGCAGCGCTGGGCTCTCTGGGTTCTGGAGGGGCAGGCAGAAAAGGGTCAGTGTGGGGTCTTGGGGGTGGAGGTGGGCCTGGGGGGAGGGACATGGAGGGAGGGAAAGTCAGCGCTAGGAACAAGTTCCCAGGTACAGGGGTCCTGAGCCAGGCTGGGACACCACTTCCTGCTAATGGACATCAGCCCCTCCTGGGGGAACGGGGGCTTGGCTCTCATATACACTGTGGAAACCTGCAGGCCATACCCTCTGCTTCTGGAAAGAGGAGTGCCCTCGATCAACTCAGGGCTGGTGTGGACACAGCTGCACCCAAAAGCTACATCAGGCAGATTCATGTTATTCTTGTTTTTCAGTTTCAACCCCAAGACTTTGGGGATTATTTTTTTTAGTCTCTGCCTAGGCTTGGAGAACAGTTGAGAAGGATCCACGCCCCATGTGAAACAGATGTGGGTGACCTCCAAGCCCTGCCGGCAGTGGGGAGCAGGATCTGATGCAGGGAGCCGCACTGCCTTAGCAAGCACCGCGTGTGCTCTGCGTGGCTCTGCTGGATGCTGAGAGGACTCCTCAGGGCACAGCTACCTCCTAAGCATTTGCTCCCAAGTGAGCTTGGCCCTTCACACCTCCAGGTGCCCCGCCCAGCATCTGGGGAGGCCAGAATCACTGCTCAGTACGGCAGACACCATCCCCAGGGTGGGAAGGATGAGGGACCCCAAAGTTTACTGTGGGCATGCTGTAGAAAGGGGGGTGCCAGGGCTCAGGGGCAGGGTCAGACATCAGGAGGAAGGGGTCAGAGCACCCCAGGGGTACATACGGAGAGGAGGCTGCAGGGGATGCCCCGTCTTGGAGCACCAGCCCGCTGGGTGGATGTCAGGGTGGTCAGCATCAATCCAGAAGTCATAGGCGTGACTCCAGCCATCAAAGTGGAGCTGGGGAGGAAAGGCCCGGGAGGTCAGGTGTTCCTCGTGGAACCCAGCTCAGCCGGGAGGTCCTCCAGGCTCCAGGAGGCTCTCCCCATCCCTGGGGCCTGCCAGAAGCAAGATCCTGAATTGGAAGGACCAAAGGGGCAACCTCACAATAATCCATCTCGACCACCACACTTCCCAAGGGTTCCACCTATGAAGCTACTGGCATGCATGCATGCCAAGTTGCTTCAGTCATGTCCAACTCTTTGGGACCCTATGAACTGTAGCCTACCAACCAGGCTTCTCTGTCTACGGGGATTCTCCAGGCAAGAATACTGGAGTGGGTTGCCATCCTTCCTCCAGGGGACCTTGCCGACCCAGGGATCGAATCCGTGGCTCCTGTTCTGCAGGCGGATTCTTTACTGCTGAGCCACCAGGGAAGCCCCGAAGTTAACTGGTATCTCCCATCAGTCCCTGGGTAGGACAAGGATTCGTGGGCCCATCTGATAGGCTCAGAGAAGGGACAGGACTTGTCCTGACTCACAAAGGTTAAGTCGCAGATGAGACCTGACTGAGACCCAAGATCTTCGGCCTCAAGTTTAGAGCTCCCTTCCCTGCAACATGCAGCTTCCCTGCAGTCTGGCTCATGCCATACCCTTGACCTCAGCACTGTCTACAGAAGTCCTGCCCCGTTGGCCTGTCCACTCCCACAGCCCGAGGGGCCCAGAGCCACCTTTATCCGATGATCCTCCACATCCTCCACGCTGGCCACACGTATTAGAGCTGGGTTCCTGCGGTCCACGGCCTCCAGCTTCATGTTGACCAGGAAGCTGTGTGGGGGTCGCTTCAGGGGGAGAGGGGTCTTCAGGCCAAGGCCCTGCTCAGCAGAGCTGAGGCCCCAAGAGGGATGCCCAGGTGCTGTGCTTGGGGAAATTGTGGCCAAAGGGGGAGGCCGGGGCCCCATCCTGCCTGACCGAGGGCTCTGTGCTTTCCTGAATTCAGCTCTGGGGGCAGAGAAAGCCAACTCACCACCTTGAAGGCCCAGGTGGGCACAGCAGAGGCCCCGGTTTCTTCCAGATATTTCTCCCAGCAGAAGCTGTCAGGGTCTGGGTAGTCTGGAGGAGAGGATGAGAGCAATATCTAGGCACCTGGGTGTAGTGGGGAGCTCCTCCCCTCCAAGCAGGACCAGGGGCGTGGAAAGGACAGAAGCCGTGGACAGAAATCCCCGTGTCACACCCTGCTCCTTGCAGGGGGCTCCTGAAGGGGAGGGGTGCCGGGCAGAAATAAGCAGTGTAGTTGGTCATCTGGGAACCCTGGCTCCCAGTCCTCTCCTTGGCTCTATTGCCTCGCTCCAGCCCCAGTCCCATCTGAACCCCCAGTGTATGTTCTGAGCGCCAAGTCGCTTCAGTTGTGTCTGGCTCTTTGTGATCCTATGGACCGAAGCCCATCAGGCTTCTCTGCCCATGGAATTCTCCAGGCAAGAATACTGGAGGGGTTTGCCATACCCTGACAGGGAAGGATACGCTTTCTTCACTCTGGACTCCTGTTCCCTTACTGAGAGGGCTCATCTAACTTTCGTTTTTTTTTTGGCTGTGAGATCTTAGTTCCCTGACCAGGGACTGAACCCTGGCAGTGAAAGGGCAGAGTCCTAACCCCTGGACCAGGAATTTCCCTTCAGCCTCAACAGAGTCAGGGTTGAACAGGACTCTCCTAAGATCAAAGGGTTGTCAGCTCCCAGGCAAAGAAGCGAAGGCTCCAGGCTACACGTGCGCACTCGGCCTGCCCTTAGAGACCCGGCTAATGAGGTACTGGTAATGGACCAGGGAGGGGGGGTGGCTCAGGCTGCAGGGTCACCTTGCGGAGGGGTGAGGGGCTTTCCTTGCTTCTGGCACCAGCCCACCGGGTGGATGTAGGGGCTGCTGGAATCACACCTGAAACCCAAGAATTCTTCACTGTCTCAAGGTGAGACTTCGAGGCCCGGAGCCTGCTGTCCTGTGACATCATGGCGACAGGGCCCACCCTCATGTCGCTTCTGAGGGAGAGTCAGACTGGTGACTGGTGAGGGAGTCAGAAAATTCCAACAGTAACTAAAAATTCTAACACCACCTTAATATCTCAGAGAAAATCATGGGTCACAGGGATCTGCTTATCTTAATCTTGGTACTTTGAGATGAAACATTTAATTGTCATCATAATTACTAACTGATGCAGACTGGGGTCCCCAACCTCCGGGATCTAATGCCTGCTGATCTGAGGTGGAGCTGATGTAATATAACAGAAATAAAGTGCACAATAAATGTAATGTGCTTGAATGATCCCAAAACCACCCCTCACCTCCAGTCCTTGAAAATATTGTTTTCCACGAAACTGGTCCCTGGTGCCAAAAAGGCTGGGACCCTGTAGATCAGATCCACAGGGCACTCAATTGTCCCCTGAGCAATATGAATATCAGGGCTGAGCCAGGGCTACCTGGTGCATCCCATGCCCACCATCCCTCCCCTTCCCCTTCCCCCACCCCCTGGGGCCAGGTCTGGGCCCTCCCACTACCAGTAGTCGTAAGTGTCATCCCAGTTGTCAAAGTGAACCAGGAAGCGGCCGTCCACCACGTCGGTCACACTGGCCACGCAGATGAGGGACGGGTTCATGCGGTCCACAGCCTCCAGCTTCATGCCCACCTGGAAGCCCAGGGGTGGGGGACTCTGGGGGCAAGAAGAGGGGCTGCCATGGCCAGGCCCAGGCTGGCTTGTGCTGGCCCAGGACCCACTGGCAAAGGAAGAGGAATAGTTTCCCTGGGGTTGTGTTTCTGCTGGGTGGGCACAGGGAGAGGGTGTGAGAAAGAGGCTGAGGAAGAGGGTCTCTCCAGGGCAGAATCAGAACCCCCAGCCCTGAGCCCTCAGGCACTTCTGGCCTCCGAGGGATGCTCAGAGGAAGCCTCATTGTGGAAGCGTCACTGACAGGAGGCCACTCACTCACCCAAAGAGCCTGACAGGCTGAGCACAAGCCTCCCCTCCCCAGACAACCCTGGCCCAGCTTGAGCTGAGGGGGCTGGGTCCACCACGGGGTGGCGGGGAAAGACGAGCTGACATGTGAGGCAGGGGGTGGGGAGAGGCGGCAGGGAGGCACCTGCCATGTGGTGGACAGAAACTCCAAAAGCCATCACCTCCCTCAGTCTTTACAACAACCCTAGGGAGATGGGTATCATCGTCTCCATTTTTATAAGTTAAGTGACTTGCCCAGGACCACAAAGCTGGTCAATGGTGGGGCCAGGACTTGAACAGTTTGACTTAAAATCTGCATCCCCTGTCACAAGAGCTGGTAGAAGCCCACCAGTCACCTGTAAGTATGGTCTCTGGGGCAGGACCGGGGTGGGTGGTACCTGTCCATACAATATGGGGCAGTCCCTGGCCCACGGGGACCCGGGACTTTCCAGATGGTAACATGTTTACTGGGCTTCCCTGGTGGCTCAGTGGTAAAAGAATCCACCTGCCGACGCAGGAGACACAGGAGACTTGGGTTCGATCCCTGGATCAGGACAGTCCTCTGGAGAAAGAAATGGCAACCCACTCCAGTATTCTTGCCTGGAAAATCCCATGAACAGAGGAGCCTGGTGGGCTACAGTCTATGCAGTCGCAAAGAGTCAGACACGATTTAGCGACAACAATAACATGTTTACTGGGAGTTCCCTAGATCTCTCAGGCTTCTGGTTTGGGATTAGAAGATGCTTTAACTGTGGGATAAAGTTGCCAGTTGCCTCGAACAGAGAGAAGGACAAGAGGAGAGCGTTGGGACCACATGGGAGAGCCTCAATGTTGCTCAAATGGATGGAAAAAGCCGCTCCCAGAATAAAGATTTGGACCTGACAACAAGAATTGCAGGGAAACCCAAGCAAAAAAGAAGGACACCTCTGTGTCCAGGCTCAGAGGGGATGTGTGGAGGAGAGGATTTCAGCAGTGGGGGGGGGTGAGGAAACCCGGAACTGCTTTCCTCTCTGGCCCTGGAGCTGCCCAGGGAGCCCCTCCCATCTGATGAGGACCAGAACTGAGCTGAGAGCACCCGTAGGAGAGTGCTCGTCTGCTGACTCAGATGCCCTGGCTGGCTGCAGTGACTGTCCTGGGGGCACTCACGTGGCTCTGGCTCACAAACAGGTGCTTGGGGGCAGCCTGGGCTCTTGTGCTGCGCAGGTACTGGCTCCAGCTGAACTCCTCCTCCTTGTAACCTAGGCCCCTCGGGGGGGATGAACAGAGCGCCGTGCAGACAGAGGCTGGGCTGTGGCAAGGGCACCCCACATGGAAGCAGCAGAATCAGGCAGGCCCGAGGACCCCACAAGCCTCAGGAACCTGCCCAGGGACCCCCCTGCCAATGCAGGACGCAGCCTGGGTGGGTTTCTCTCAAAGGGCAAGGGCAGAGCAGAAGCCCTAAGGCCGAGTCATAGCAGGATGAGACAGAAAGGCTGGCTGTGCAATGGGAACAGGGAAGTGGGGGACCACAGGGAAGAGGCGAGGGAAGGTCTGGGGGCTCACTGCCTCACTGGGACCAGCCCAGCCAGGCTTTACCTTTGGGGGGCTGCAGCTTGTGCCCCGTCTTCTCGAACCAGCCAGCCGGATGAATGTCAGGGGAATTGGCATTGACCCAGAAGTCATGGCACTCGGAATACCCATCAAAGTGCAGACGCAGGCGGGAGCCACACACCTGATCCCGTAAGGGAGAAGCACGGGGACTCCAATGCCAGCAGACGCCCTGTTTCCCTTCCCGCACCGCTCCTCAGCCAGCCTGGTAGTCTCAGGGGTCGGTTGCTACAAGGTTCCTGCCTTCACCCCTCCTGCCTCCCAGATTTCCCAGCATCCTTAACTTTGCCATACACCCTCCCATCCTACAAGGAGCACAGCTCATGTGCTAATGAGCCTGAGCTCTGGGCACAAGACAGGATATTCTCAGACACCCTCTGGCCCCTTTGAGCCCTGGACAGATTCCAAAGGCACTGACCAAAGCTCAGGGCCCCAAGGACCCTTCCTTCCACTACCTTCTCTCACTGCTCAGACCTCAGCCTGCCAATGGTGGCTCCTTGAACATGGTGCCCTTGAACGTGTTGTTCCATGGCCCAGTGCCTTTTTCTCACTTTGCGTCTTGTGCCTGGGACACACTACTCACCTCTCGAGACTCAGCAATGGAGGCTCTTCCCCCTGAAGCCATTCCTGCCCCTTCAGTGCCCCCCTGCACACAACTGTCATCACCCCTGGGGGGTATCACTGTTTATCTGGCTGATGCCCACACAACTGTGAGCTCCTAAGAGAATAAGGACCTTGTTGGACTCATGCCACCATCCCTGCCCCTGGGAGTGCTGCTCCTCAGTAACCTCACCATCTCAACCCTTCTCCTGCTTTTTGTTTGTATTTTAGTGTTCTGCATATTCTGCCTCAACCCCCTATTAGGTTGGATGCTGTCTGAATCCAGGCCTTCCATGCCCTTGGCTGACTCCTTCAGTCCATCCTGAGGGGAGTCATCAGGATGTGGGAGCCAGCCTCAGCTCACCTCGGCCACGGTGAGGATGAAGTACATGCTCGGGTGCTGAGGGTCGATGCCTTCCAACTTCATGCCCGGTCTGAAGCCATTCTTGTTATGAGTGACTGTCTGGTACTGTTAACGCACAGATAGGAGAGGATCCAGCTCCCCTCTGGCATTATCCTAGCCTAGTCGGCTGGGGGCAAAGGAACCACCTTTGGGGCCCACCTGCTCAGCACTACCAAAGAGGTAACTTATTTGGGGAACTTTACTGCAGGGATCCAAAGCAGGACAGACTAGCCTCCAGGTCCCTTGAAAAGTGGACTTCAGGGCTCCATCTTACCCAAGTCAGTGTGTAGAATTAAGTAAAAGGCAACAGAATTCAAAAGTCTGAAGGCCCAGTGATGGGTAAGCCTGAGTCCCACCTCCTATTTCTTCCCACCCAGGAAGCCCCTTACAGTGAGCCCTTCTCTACTCTGGGTCCCTAATCAGTCTGTCCCCCTTCCATCCTGCCAGTCCTTTGAGGCATGTCAGACAGAGAAAGCAGCAGAAGGCCTGAGTCTGAAGGTGAGTCCCTGGACTGGGAGACAAGCTCTTTCTAACACAGAAGTATACAACTCACGTCCTGGAAGAGGCTGATGGGGGCAGCGATGGCCTTCTGCTCCTCAAGGTAGGATTCCCACGACCAGCCTGGTTTCTTTTCCTCTGAGGCTGTGGGGAGGAGGCAGACAGGCTGACCCCTCAGGTGGTGGTTGGTGGTTTACTCGCTAAGTCCTATCCTGACTCTTGCAACCCCATGGGCTGCAGCCCACCAGGCTTCTCTGTCACTGGAATTCTCCAGGCAAGAATACTGGAGTGGGTTGCCAGTTCCTCCTCCTGGGGATCTTCCCGATCCGGGGATCGAACCCACGTCTCCTGCATTTCAGGCAGATTCTTTACCAACAGAGCCACCAGGAAAGTCCTAGGTTGCTTCTTAAATACGACCTTCCTCAGTTCCCCCAACCCAACCCTACCTTAACCCCCAAAACAAACATCTGTCTGTGATCACATGCTGCCTTCTGATCCCACTCAGCCACAAGGGTGCCGGACACGCAGGGCCCAGGTGAGACTCAGTCTCAGGTAAGGCTGCACCAAATTCTGCCCACCCTGCCCAGCCCCCACTCCTAGACCATTGTCAGCAAAGGCATTCTGGATTATGGGCCCACTAACAGAGGTTAAAAAGTCTCAACCACAGAAGGCCAAAGCTGTGTGACAAGTCCCGAGCCAGAGGACTGAATCACAGCACCACCTAAGCTCACTGGGAAGGAAGAGGAAAAAGAGAAAAAAAAGAGAGGAAAACATGCAAGGAAGAAGAACAAAAGAGACAACCCAGACGGTTTCCCTGGTGGCGTAGTGGTTAAGAGCCCACCCGCCAATGCAGGGGACACAGGTTAGATTCCTGGTCTGGGGAGATTCTACACGTCCCAGAGCAACTAAGCCTGCAGGCCACAACTACTGAAGCCTATACTCTCTAGAGCTAGAAAGCTGCAATTACTGAAGTCTTAGTGCCCAGAGCCTGTGCTGTAAAACAAGAAAACACCGCAATGAGAAGCCCAGGCACTGCAAAGAAGAGTAGCCCCTGCTCGCAGCAATCAAAGAAAGCCAACTGACCCCCTCAAAGAGCTATGACTTCACACCCACTAGGATGGTTATAATACAAAAGACAGAGGGACTTCTCTGGTGGTCCAGTGGCTAAGACTCTGTGCCCCTAATGCAGGGCACCTGGGTTTGATCCCTGGACAGGGAACTAGATCCCATATGCTGCAATTAAAAGTCAGGACAGCTAAATAAATCCTCTTTAAAAATAAAAAAGACAAATTATAACAAGCCTTGGTGAGAATGTGGATAAATTGGAACTTTCATACGCTACTGGTGGGAATATATGGTGGTTTGGCCACTTTGGAAAACATAGTCTAGCAGTTCCTTAAGAGGCTAAACATATGGTTACCACAGCAACCAGCAATTCCACTCCTATGTACATACCCAAGAGAAATGAACACTTATGGCCAGACGAAATTTTTGCGCAGATGTTCATATCAGTGTTATTCATAACAGCCTCAAAGTGGAAAGAACACACATACCCATCAGTTGATAAAGTGTGATATTTCCTATGATGAAATATTATTCAGCAATAAAAATGGATGAAATACTGATACATGGTACAACATGGATAAACTATGAAAACACTGTGCTAAGTGCAAGAAGCCAGTCACAAAGGACCACATGCTATATGATCTCATTTATATGAAATGTCTAAAATAGGCAAATCCATATATACAGAAAGTAGATTGGTGGTTGACTAAGGCTGGAAGGGAATTCGTGGTTTGGGGGGAATGTCAGTTAATGGGTATAGGGTTTCTTTTTAGAGAGATGAAAATGTTCTAAAATTGATTGTGGTGATGTTTATACAATTCCATGAATAGACCAAAACCCACTGAATTGTATACCTCAAATGAGTAGGTTGCATGTTTTGTGAATTAAAACTCAATAAAGCTATTAGAAAGCTATTTCTTACAAAAACACGTATAAAGCATTAACTGTAGGAAAAAATGGATACGTTAGACACAGATTCTCTCCACACATAGGACACATGAGCAGCCCTGCCATGCCCACTCCTACTCCCAGATTCTTCTGTCAAAAGATCCCCAAAATGAATGGGAAAAGATTTTAGTCATAAGAGCAAACTTCTGTCTACTGACAAGGTTTCTTCCCTTGAAAAAAGGCAGAAAGGAGAAAATAACCAGAAACTAATGCCACACATTAATGTTCACAGTCAAGATGGTGAAATGTACAAATCAAAAGATAACTTCAACCTGGTCAACAGGACCCAGCAGAAAAAATGCTTGTTTAAGAATGTACTTTCTTATGAAAGACAGAGCAGTGGAACCAATATATCTATATATCTATAGTTAGATATATACAATATAGTTAGATATATTAACTCCTGCCTCTATTTAAGGAGAAGGCAATGGCACCCCACTCCAGTACTCTTGCCTGGNATTAACTCCTGCCTCTATTTAAGGAGAAGGCAATGGCACCCCACTCCAGTACTCTTGCCTGGAAAATCCCATGGACGGAGGAGCCTGGTGGGCTGCGGTCCATGGGGTTGCTAAGAGTCGGACACAACTGAGCGACTTCACTTTCACTTTTCACTTTCATGCACTGGAGAAGGAAATGGCAACCCACCCGTGTTCTTGCCTGGAGAATCCCAGGGACGGGGGAGCCTGATGGGCTGCCGTCTATGGGGTCACACAGAGTCGGACACAACTGAAGTGACTTAGCAGCAGCAGCAGCCTCTATTTAAGACTTAAGAGGACATAAACCAGAACTTTCCTGGTGGTCCAGTGGCTAAGACTCCATTCTCCCAAAGCAGGGGGCCTGGGTTTGATCCCTGGGGAGGGAACTAGACCCCACATGCCTTAACTAAGAATTTGCATGCCTCGACTAAAGAGCTCACATGCCACAATGAAGATCAAAGATCCTTCGTGCCACAACAAAGACCTGGTACAGCCAATTAATTAATTAATTAATTAAAAGAGGACAAAAACTAATGAGCGCTAAGACTTTGACTTCTGATGTGACAGCCTTGGGTGAGAAAGAGAGCCATGAAAATATGATTTGGCTAAGATAGGCAGAATATAGAATAGGTACTAGAGAGTTTGAAGCCCTGGACACAGATCAGGCTCCTCTGCCTGGCAATGAGTTCATCAAGGGAGAAAGATGTCCTAAAACTGACCTCACTCTCTGGCTCTCTAAGGAACAGGAAAGACAGTGACTCATGCAACTAACCCGTGGTCCAAGAAGAAGCACCGACATACAACTCATTTATTCATCCACTGAACAAACATTTATTGAGAGTGTACTCCACACCAGCCTCTGGGCTAAGGACCAGGGATATAATGACTAGTAGAAGAGATTCAGTTTTGAGGGAGGCAGAGAGACATTGCTACAGTCTCTGGGTGAGTTTGATAAACTCTACTTGGCTCCAATTGGCTGCTGTCATGGAAAGTGGAGATGGTAATGCAGAAGGTCTGAGGGCCACAGCTGACTATTAATGATCTTTGTTCCATTTTTCTTAGAACCAAAGGATTAGAATGGAGGCCCAAATAGCAAGGTCAGACCAATGACCAGTATGGACTTGCTCACACCACCACAGGGAAGCAATACCATGTGGTGCCATTAAAGTCTGCTCAAGTCTTTGGATATTATGAGGCCTACTCACAACTGGATGCTGCTGCTGTTGCTGCTAAGTCACTGGCTAATAGAGGATAAACAAACATGATATAAGCCTCAAGAAGATACATATACCATGGCACAAACCAAAAACACACACGTTCTATCACACACGCACACATACATACTAACTTATGGTCATCTATATATATACAATACACCATCACAATGGTAACCTGCACTCCCAGCTTCACACCTCCTAAGGCGTACACACACGGCTCATGAATATATATACACAGGCTATCATACCAGGCTGGCTGCTGTTCCATTCCTCACTTTCTGGGGTGTTACTGGTAGCTTGTCCCTCTGGATCCTTTCCTTCTTCTTGCTTCTCCTGTAGAAGGCAACAGATCCCAGCTTCCTGTCTTCGTGAGTTGGCATGAAGCCCCTATCTCTATTCCTGATCCAGGCCTAGCTCTCTGGTCACACGGTGTTCTTCTCCCAATGAGTGGATATTCTTCTAGGCTACCAGCAGGAACACAGCTCTGGTAGACAACCCTTTACCACATGGGCACAGTCTCATACCCCCTAGTTTACACAGCCTGATTACAGTTCTCCTCGTTCCCAGGTGGGGAAACTGAGGACATGAATACCTGCCCTGTGCTCCGTGGCCTCTAGCTCAGAGCTGGGGCCCCAGTGAGGAATCTGTCCATTTGCCTGCACACCTGCTTGGGTGCTGGTTCATGTCAACGTGACAGCCCCGCCACTAGACTGAGGTGGGGGCTCTAGAAAAACAGGAAAGGGGTTTATTTATTTCCCTGGAACCAAGTCCAGGATCTGACTCCAGATAGGACCCCAAAGTATGATGAGTGAGTTACTATGTGTCTTCTGTGGCCCAGCCCCACCATCTGGATTAATGGAGGGGCTGGTGAGAACTGAGGTATAGCCTCCAGCCTCCCCAGCCCTCCCAGCTGTCCGCCTCCTACCATGGCCTCTGGCTCAGACTCCTCCTCGGATGGGCTCTGATATTCCCTGCGTTTCCTCTTCTTCACGGGTTTGAGGAGCTCAGAAGCGCTGGTGCAGTTGTTCTGGCCTGAGGAGTTCTCCACTATGACTGACCTGAGGGACGGGCAGCCTGAGGGAAGGAACCACCCACCCTGCACCATCCACCTCCCTTCAAAGCTCAGAACAGAAGCAAGGGCCTCGGGGCCGGAGAAGCCCCAAAGGGGCTTTGGAGCGGGAGAAGGCAGAGAAGTAGGGCTTAATTCCTTCCGGCTTACCGCTCCTGGAAGCGCTGAGGGCAGCCATCACTGCAGGAACTAGGATCTGGACCAGCGCCTTGCTGAGGCCCACAAGCCTGGCACGGGCAGGTGCCATCATCCTCTGGTGGGTCTTGAGGCGGACCTTCTGGAGGGTCCTGGGGGAGGCCCGCTGGGGGAGACCAAAGGCACCTCAGATCGCCCACCCAACAGATCCACACTCAGGCTCCGCCCATCTCGGAGCCCACTCGGGGCCTCCACCTCGGTCCCGTTCCCCACTTTCCCCACTGGACAGCCCTGCCTCCCTCGCCAGAGCCTTCTCCGCCCCAAGGCCAACCCGCCGGCCCGGACACACCCGCCGGGACCCGGGCCACGCCCCCTCGGGCCACGCCTCTGGCTTCGGCTCCCCTGCGAGTTCGGGGCTCTCCCAGCTTCCGCAGGGGCCCAGCTGCGGGCCTGAGGCTCCTACCCGGCTGTTGGGGGTCCGCACTGCCACCCCCCGCCGGGGCCTCGCCATCTTCGTACTCGGCCACGCCTTCCCGCCGCAGCTCTGGGCTTGGTGGTTGCTCTGCTCCCACCATGTTCGGCGGCGCGTACTCACTTATCCGGAACTGTAGCGCGGGAGGGTCAGAGGGGTACAACTCCGGGACTGGCCCTTGACCCACACCCAGTCAGCATGGTCCCCTCTCCCGCCGCCTCACTGCAAGCCACGCCTCCAAGGCTTATTCACCGTAAGACAGGCCCTAGAACCTCCCAACTGTCTCGTCTTGGGAGCGCAGCACTTCAAACCCCGCCCCCAGAGTCCCTCACCTTAAGCCCCGCCCGCAGAACCCTCCCTCTCTGCCAGCTTCCCCACCTTCCGCCTCTGGCCCCGCCTCCGGGCCTGCAGGCCCCGCCCCACAGCGGCGGCTCGCGGGACCCCGCCAATCCCCACAGCTACTGACCCGCAGGCCGCTCCCCGAAGGCGGGGCCGCGGCTTCGGTCCACTCCAGGAGCCGCACTGTACTGGCGCTGGGGCTGGCCGCCGGCCCCGTGCTCAACTGCGGGAGAACCGTGGCTGTGACAGGTACGCTGCCGGCCGCTCGCTCCGGGGTGCCCACGTGGATCGGCTCCCGCGGAAAGCAGGACACACCCAGGGCACTGCTGGTCAGACCCAGGGCGGCCGAGCTGGCTGCGAACAGATACACGGACAGACACGACACAGATGAGCCTGACGACCCTGCCCCAATCCTACCATGCAAGTGTGGAGGCAGGTGAAAAGTATCGTTTCCTCCCCAGGACCCACATCTGCTTGGGCATGGATGTGGATGCTCCTGTTCCCCCAGACCCCTGGCTTGGCCCACCTGGAATGATAAAGGCAGAAGCAGGCAGGTGAGAGCCGGAGCCTGGGCTATCTCTGGCCACCAGGTGCACGCTGACCTCCCCTGTGGAAGGTCCCTTCAGTGTCCTCAGCATCTCCATTTCAGCATGCCCCTCCATCCTCGTAGGCCTACAAATGGAACACAGCCCCCAAGGGGATCAGGGAGGTAGGGGGCCTCCATGAGGAGGAGCTGCCCACTCTCAGAGAAAAGCCTCAGCCATGAGGGGAGTAAGGTGTTTTAGGAGCCCAGCATACAGTTTGGCTCCTGGCTCTATCCTGGTCACCCAGGTGAGAGCTCTGGCCAGACCCTGCTCCTCCCCCCAGTCCCTGTAAGATGGGCATGTGTGAAGATGCTTTGTAAACTGCTGTGCACTCTCTAGGGAGTCTCGGGAAGTGTCTCGGGCCAAGGTTCTACCTGGTCAGCTATCTCATGGCACAGCCCAGGCCAAGTCCAAACTCCCCTCTTTCTCAACCTCCTCCTCCATCCCCAGTAGAATCACTCCCTTCTCCCTCTGGGGATTCAGAACCCTCAAGTACCAGATTCTCCTTCAGTCATACAGGTCATTTTCCTGGGAGATGATCTTTCCTGATGGTGTTCTTTTATGCCTCCTGCCCACCACTCCCTCCAACCCCAAGCAAAGAGTGGGCACTCAAACATCTGTTGAGGGGACTTCTCTGGTGGCCCAGTGGTTAGGACTCCAAGTTTCCACTGCAGGGGGCACAGGTTTGATCCTTGGTTGGGAGAACTAAGATCCCACATGCAAAAAAAAAAGAAAAAAAAAAAAAACAACCCAGCCAAACAAACACACACATACAAAAACAAAACAAAAAACATAAAAGCCCCATCATCTGAAGAGCAAAGAGGTAATGTATGAGAATGCAGGCAGTGCAAGATTTTGCTTTAATAAAGGCAGACCCTTTAAAAATAAAGGGTCAAACATGTACACATATGGGAAAAAAGACCTAGTGACATAGCAAATATACTTAATATCTATCATTTACTTAACTCCTTAAATATGCTGGCATGCAGCAGGTGCTGTGTTGGATTTCACTAATTTGAACTTGTTAATAAAAAACAGTATAGAGAATTCCCTGTGCTTCCACTGCTGGGGACCGGTGTTCGATCCCTGGTTGTGGAACTAAGATTCTGCATGCCGTGAGGCATAGCCAAAAAAAAAAAAAAGCAGTGTATGAGTAAGTGATATTTGGTTGCTTTAAGATGTCAGTAGGGCTTGACAATGGCTTCTGGCATATATGTTAAAGGAAAGAACATAGATGCATGCTTAAGTTAGACTTAAGTCAGTTTGAATCTCAGATCCCCCCTTAAATGCCTGTGATTCTGAGTAAGTAGCTTCCTGTCGTTGAGCCTCAGTTTCCTCATGTGTAAAATGAAGGGGATAATGGTATTTATCTTAAAGGGCTCTGATGAAGATTAAGTGGAAAAAATATGTAAAGTCTTGATACTAGCAGGCCTTCATAAAAAACCAACTCATTCCCCCTGAACAGAAATTTTGAGGAGCTTGGCAGCTCCAGTAAAAATGGGAAAATCAGCTTGTAATGGTTGCTGTCTTTCCCACTCTCCACTCCTCCCTCCATCCGTTCTTGTCACTGATATATCTTCCAGCTTTTCCTCCCTAAAATAAAATACACAGGACACCCCATATAGTATATATAGAGTGAATATTCAAGTAGACAAAGGCTTAGAGATATAACCTGATTAATTAAAGCAACATTCAAACCAAAGTTTGGGGACTTCCGTAGTGGTCCAGCAGTTAGAACTCAGTGCTTTCACTGCCATGGGCCCAGGTTCAATCTCTGGTCAGGGAACTAAGATCCACAAGCTGCTTAGCGTGGCACAAACAAACAAACAAAAACCCAAGGTTTGTTCCCCCTTCTCAAGTGGCTCAAGCGGTGAAGCACCTGCTTGCCAATGCAGGAGAAACAGGCAGGAGACATGGGTTCAATTCCTGGGTCAGGAAGATCCCCTGGAGGAGGAAATGGCAACCCACTCCAGTATTTTGCCTGGGAAGTCCCATGGACAGAGGAGCCTGGTGGGCTGCAGTCTGTGGGGTCCCAAAGAGTTGGACACCATTGAGTGCGTATGCATGCATGCATGTGCACGTGCAAACACACACACACACACATGGTTTGTTCTCCCTACTACTTCCCCTTTAAAAAAATTATAAAATAGCATTCTCCAAATTAAAATTATTTTGCTTTGCACAGCTGACATAATTGTACCATTTTAAGTCCTTTTAAACCATCTTTTTATTCAAAACATTGGCAGTCATTAGGAGTGAATGTGGTTACTCCTGAAAGAATTCCATTCTGGTCTATTAAGGGAGGGTGGTTGAGAGAACTTCCCTTCTGTTCAGGTTTCTGTCCTTTTCCCAGTAGACAGTGGTGGACCAAATGGGAGTCAGCATCCTCCTTTTGTGCTGTGGGAATAGTCTCAAACAAGAGAAAGTCCTCTTATGGAGCCTACATTCTAGAAGTAAGGGATAAAGTGGAGGCTGGAGATGTAAATTTAAAAACCATCCTGTACAGATGGCAGGGAAAAATCATAAAACTGAGTATAAAGAAAATGGTGGGAGCCTTGGAGCTCATCAAAATAGGTTGGGAAGAGGAAGATCTAGCCAGAGACTGAGAAAGAGCCTGCCATGAGATGAAAGAATATCCAGAAGCATCTGAGCTTCTGGAGGAAAGTTTCTAGAAAGTGGGGCTGCTCAACGGTGTTAATACCACTAGCAGATCAAGTCAGATGAGGGCAGAGAGCTGACCATTTTAGCAATAAGGCGATCATGAGAAATCTTGACAAGCACCATTTCAGAGGAGCTGTGGACATAAAAACCTGATCAGAGTGGGTTCCAGAGAGAAATCATCAATTAGTTCAGTATTTATTGAGCATCTAATATATATAAGGCAATTTTCTATGCCATTTGTAGTGAACAGAAGACACAAAGGCCTCTGTTATAGAGTCTGCATGCTAGTGGGGAAACTGACAGTAAGAACTGGTCCTTGTCGGGGGATGGGAGAAAAGGAAGTGGAGACTAACAGCTCTTTCCAGGAGTTGTGATACAAAGAACATTGATGGGGATAATATTTGGAAAGTGATGAGTTCTCAAGGAAGGGATGTTGGTTTTGCTTTTTATTTATGTATTTATTTTAAAGTTTTATTTACTTATTTATTGCTGGGCTTGGGCTTTGTTGCTGCGGACTTTTCTCTAGTTATGGCGAGTGGGAGCTACTTTAGGCGCGGTGTCCGGGCTTCTCACTGCAGTGTTGGGGGTCTGCGCTGCCTCTTCCCTTCTCTTCTCTCAGCAGAGCGCAGACTCTAGTTCTGGGAGCTTCAGTAGTTGTGGCTTTGGGGCTCCAGAGCACAGGCTCAGTATTTGTGGTACACAGGTTTAGTTGCCCTGCAGCATGTGGGATCTTTCCAGACCAGGGATCAAACCCTTGTCTTCTGCATTGGCAGGCAGATTCTTTACCACTGAGCCACCAGGGAAGCCCTCTTTTGCTTTTTAATATTTATTTATTTAGTTGCAGCATGTGGGATCTAGTTCCCTGACCAGAGATGGAACCCAGGTCCCCTGCATTGGGACCAGGGAAGTCTCCATTTTTCTTTTTTAAGACTATTTTTTAAAATTTTAATTAATTAATTAATTTGACTGTGCCAGGTCTAAGTTGTGGCATGCAGGATCTTCAATCTTAGTTGCAGCATGTGGGATCTAGTTCCCTGACCAGAGATGGAACCCAGGTCCCCTGCATTGGGATCACCAGGGAAGTCTCCATCTTGCTTTTTTAAGACTATTTTTTAAAAATTTTAATTAATTTATTTGACTGTGCCAGGTCTAAGTTGTGGCATGCGGGATCTTCAGTCTTAGTTGCAGCATGTGGGATCTAGTTCCCTGACCAGGAATCGAACCCAGGTCCCCTGCATTGGGAGCTCGGAGTCTTACCCACTGGACTACCCGGGAAGTCCCCCATTTTGCTTTTTTAAATAGAAGATGCTATGCAGCCTCTTTATAACTGATGGAAATAAGCCTATAGAGGGAGAAACTGACAGAGCAGGGGAAAAAGAATAATTCTAGAAGACAAGTCCTTGACAACGCAGGAGGGGAGAGGCTCCAGGGCACCTGTGATGTTTGAGACCCACTGCATGTGGCTCTGGGTTCCTGGCTAGCAGCACCAACTGTGTTTTTCCCCAGCTAGACCGTTAGCTTTTCCTGAGACCTGGGAACTACTTTCTCTGGGATTTGAATGCACTTCTCCTCTACCACTGCTGCTGCTAAGTCGCTT